CACATTCTACTTTATAGAGTCGAGTTTATCGAATAGTTTGCTCAGCATACAGATTGAATAGGTATAGAGCGAGAACAGAACACTGGTGCACTTTCTTCTTAATTTTAAACTATGAGTGGCTAGAAGAACAAACAGGTTTGTCCTGATAAAATCAGGCTGCTCCTTGGAGGCAAGAATTCTGAAGCTTTGTCTGACATACTTTTGGACATGCTGCAAGGAGGGATGAGTGCTTGGACAGGGAAGTCATGCTTAGAAGGGTGGAAGGACAGCACAAGAAAGGAAGAACCTCAATGAGATGGATTGATTCAGTGACTTGGGTAATGGAGGTAGGTGTGTGAGAAACAGTAAGATTGGCACAGGATAGAGCCAGGGTACAGGGCTGTTGTACATAGAGTCACTATAAGTTGCAAGCACAGCACATAACAACAATGTTCCCTTGCTCTGTTCGTGTAACAGCATCTTGGTGTAGATACAGGTTTCACATGAGCACGATTAAGTGTTCTGGGATTCCCAGTCTTCTCAAGACTAGCCATAACTTGTTATGATCCACACAGACAAATGCTTGTGCATAGTCAATAAGGTATAAATCAACATTTTTCTGGTATTCTTTACTTTCCAGAGTAAAGAAGAGTAAAACAATGTCTGGTATTCTACCTTCAGGTTGCTCTGGTAGCCTAAGATGGCAAAAAGCTGCACTACAATTCCAAAGGTATGGTGGTTTGAGGCTACAAGGTGCTCTGCAGTGGAATGATAGGCAATCTCCTCCTGTGGAATTAACTACCTCTGAAAACCCACTAGACGGTCAGCTATGGGTCAGTTCCACCTCTACGGTAAAACAACAACAACATTCTTTACTTGCAGCCAGGATCCAGCTAACATCAATGATGATATACCTGGTGTCACAGCCTCTTCTAAATCCTGCTTGAGCTTCTTGCAGTTCCCTATCTATGTACTGTCTAGTCGTCTTTGAATGCTCTTCATCAATATTTTGCTTGCATGTGATACTAATGATATTGTTCTACAGTTCTACATTCAGTTGGATCACTTTTCTTGGTTATGGGAACAAATATGGACCTCTTCCAGTCTAGATGGATAATGAACGGTTTATTGTAATAGGTAAAGGGAAGGTCATTGTGAAATTAATGGCTGATCAGACATTGTGTGTATTGCAATTAACAATGTGGAACAGGATTTGCATGACTAATTTGAAAAAAAATCTAAGTAACATATACGTACGTTAAAATCAATCATGTAAGGGAGCTCTGGTGGCCTAGTGGCAAGACGCTGCACTGTAATCCCAGAGGTATGCAGTTCAAATCCACCAGATGTTCTGCTGGAGAAGGAGGGGGCAATCTCTTCCTGTACCAGTCAGATCTGATTTGATGGCACACGTAAAAATAATGCAATAAAAAAAAATCAATCATGTAGAATTGATACAGATGGGAAGGAAGAAAGCAGCGAGCAGGGATTAGCAGAGGAGTGGATAAGTTGAATGGAAAAGCAATGTCGACGACTGGAAATGGACTTCCTTTTACCTTACGGGAAGCTGTATACAGATTTAAACTGCTGACCTTCAGATTTGCAATGCAACATGTAACACACTATGTCACCAGAATTTAAGCCCTTATTTAGGCTTACATTAAAGCAAGAAAAGAGCCTTGGCAGGAAAAGGGTTAAGTGTTCAGCTTCTAACAAAAAGGTCAGTGCTTGAAGCACATTATCAACTCCTCAGGAGAAAGAGATAGCAGTCTGAGTCCATAAAGATTTCCAGTCTCGGTAATACAATGGAGCAGTTCTATTTTGTCATCGGGCTCCTATGAGTCAGAATCATCTAGAAGGCTCTGTGTTTACCTTGAGTTAGCGCAAAGAAAAGATTAGAAGTGTTTTCATTGATTGAAAACTGCCTATGGAAGATGTGAAAGTTATTGTGAAGAATTTATTGTGAGTAGTAATTGGTTCAATTATTTAAAAGGAAAGGAAATGTATGTAATAACAAAGTGAGTTCTGGTAGTTGAAGCTGTGCTGCAATCCTGAAGGCATGAGGTTCAAATCCACTAGTTGTTCTGTGAAGAAAGTATAGGCAATCTCCTCCCATTCAATTATCTGCCTCTGGAAATCTGCCTGAGGGTCAGCATTGAGTTGGTTCTGACTCAGTGGTACACAACAACAACAACAACAAAAAGGATAAGAAAAGAAACTCTGGTGGCCTAATGGTAAGAAGTCAGGCTGCAATCCCAAAGGTACTGGTAGATGCAATTCCAGATAGGCTGTCACAGCTCTCTGTGAACTCCGCATGGACTGGACCACCAGAGCTCTTTTATGTTAAGGATGCAGGATTAAAACCTCATCTGTAAAGATATCTGACCCAGGGGTAATCTCCTCAAAACTGTAGCCTGTCGGGCTGCCCTCGGGCTCCGGCTTGGGGCGAACCGTCGCGGCCCTCTGCCCGGGGCGGGCTGCCCTCGGCCCCCGGCTCGGGGCGAGCCGTCGAGGCCCTCAGGGTGAGCTCCTCAGTCCCCAGATTGTGCCATCTGACCCCTGGGTGGGGAAGGAGAAGAAAAAAAAAGAAGAATGCCTAGGGTATCCAGAGAATGTTACCTAGGCCACCTTCTGCCACCACCCCCCCCCCAAGTAAACCTGAAAGCAACATCCTCAAAGCCCTTCTATTTGTAACTCATGAGTTTGTTCTCTCTAGGTTTGCTCCCTTTCCTATAGGTAACCTTAACTCTGAGTTTTACTCCAGAATTGACCCTGAACCCAGTGCCAGTGACAAAAAGGAAATACAACTGACTGCTAAGGAAGCAAAGGAGGATGGAGCCTCTGGGTTCAACCAGCCATCCCCACTGGACCCACCTGGGAAAACACTTTGCACTCCAGACGGGAGCAAATGACAGGAAAATATCTTCTAACAGAGCAAGAAGGCAAGCAGCTGTAACCCAAGACCACCAGTAAGGTGATAAAGTGTCCTCCCTTCCCCCCTTTACATCTATGCCCCTGTTCAGCATGAAGAAGCCAGAGAGTTGGCATCCAATTCCCAAATCAATAAGACAGTTGGTTTAATTACTATTGGAAAATGCTTGTCATTCCTCTGTAGCATCTGGTCCCCACTGGACCCTCATCATTTCCTTCACCTGCTCCCCCCACTGACCAAAATGTGCAGCTCTGCAACTGCATCCTGGCCCATCCTCACCCTTCTGCCCCCAACCCTCACCTCCTTGTACCCCCAATATGTTTTTCCCAATAAAAAAAAAATTTAAAAAAAAACACACTGTAGCCTGTACAGGCTGATAGGCCTTAACTGATTAAGGAGAGGTCTCCTCAGGCATATGACTCTCCAGGAAAAAGGTGAATTTTTATCAGATATACATCTGACTGTTTGACTCAGTATTCACACATGAGCCAGTGGTCAGCCACATTTTCCAGTTTGGGACTCATCAGTATCTAAAGACAACTGCCTGTAACCCTGCTCTCGAAGGATGTATTTGGATGTGTTAGCTTTCAACAATGGCCTTTGAATGTGTCCACTTCTGAAACCAGCAGCCTCCAAACCTAGCAGCTTGAGATCCTGCTGCCTGCGGATAACTTGGACTGACTGATTCGCAATGATCTAGAAAACTTATTTTCAGATTTTTTACACAATTAGGATGTGATGACTTGTATCCACAATCAATACACTTGGTACCAGCAAGAGATCAGGAGATGTACTGCACTGAAAAAATCTGTAAGGACCTCTCCAAATTATTGAGGATTAATGATGTTAGTTTGAGGACTAAGGTGCAACTGATTCAGGCCATGGTCTTTTCAGTCTCTTGTTAGGGACCTGAGAGCTGTATAATGACAAAAGATGGCAGAAGAAGAATGTGGTGTTGAAGAAAAGCACAAAAATCCCATGGACTGCCAAGAAAATAACAGGTATGTGTTGGAAAAGGTGCAGCCACAGTGTTCCTTGGAGGGAAAGATGATAAAACTTTATTTCACACACTTTGTGCATGTTGCTAGGAGAAGTTATTCCTTAGAGAGGAACATCATGTTTGGAAAGAAGGTAGGATGGCCAAAATAGGAAGACTTTCATCAAAGTGTACTGACACAGTGACTGCAGCAATGCGCTAAGTGTCAGATATTGTTAGAATAGCACAGGATAGAATAGGCTTGAGATCTGTGGTTCATGTGGTCGTTATGTGTCATACTAGATTTGATGGTACTTAACAATTACAGGATGTAACTATTGAGATTTTTATTATAGGTGCTCACATAAACATAATTAACTCATGTTGTTGTTGTTGTTGTTAAGTACCATCGAGTCACAGGTGACTCAGAGCAACGCAATGAAGGAGAGTCCTCGATGCTTGGGTGCCTTTCATCCTCTCTCCAAGTGGATGCCACTCCTCCTTCCAAATTAACCCATAGGGCAGAATAAATGTATTTACAAATATTAGCAACAGAGCTGAATAAGCTCTATGTTGAATACAAAATTGTTGTTATGTGCCATCAAGTTGGAATCAATTCACAGCTGATCCTCCAGCAGGTTTTCTGAGGTTGTAAATCATATAAGAATAGTTGGTGGATTTGAACTGCCTGCCTTTGAGTTGGTAGGGCAACTCCTTTCCTCTTATTCATCAAAGCTTCCCACACATAAGATTACAATGAAGAATTAAGAGGGAAGAAGTTGAAGAAAATTCTCAAATTATACGCTTAGTTTGAGAGACTGAGTACCCAAAATAAAGGAGGAGGGGTGCTAACATTAGTATTTGTGTATTTATTTCTGCTATAATAAAGACAGTAGATTCAAACTAAATATATTCATCTTGAAAATTTTGACTGTATAATGATTTTAGGTTTATGGATACACATCCTTCAGTGAGCAGTGTTAGAACTGGTTCATTCTTTCATCAAAGTATTAATACTTAAACTATATGTCAAGTATTCTATATAATTTTGCCAATCCCAACTTATTCATAAATATGATATAAAATTTATTATGCCTTATTAAAGAAATTTACCTTATCTCCAGGACCAAAGAAGAATTAATTTTCCAGCCTTCTACGGAGTGTTGAAAAATTGAAGAGCCAGTTTTTCGAATAACTTTATCAGAACTATTGACAAGTGATCGACTCAAACACAATTCACTATCTCTGAAACAAACAAAAACAAGATAACACTATGAAAGTAAGAAACAAATTGATTAAGTCCCATAAAATTTCTTTACATTACTGGTTGAATATTATAGATACAAGTTAGTCTATATTTCAGATGGAGAAGTAAAACAAAGAAGGATACTATAAGGATAAAGTGAATGTAATTTTATCAGGATTAACAAATATATGGATCTTTTTGGAAATGAATATTTTCATATAAAGAAAAAGCCAGTCTTTGGAGAAGGACATCACACTCAGAAGGATGGCGGGACAGTGCAGGACAGGAAAATCCTGAATGAGAAGGACTGACACAGTTACTGGGTCAATGAGGGTAGTGTGTCTGAGTGAGTGAAACTGGCCCAGGACAGGGCAGAGTTCAGAGCTGTTGTACATAGGGTTTCAATGACTCTCAGGTGACTAGAAAGCCCATAACAACAACAGTACTTAAAGAGTAAAAACAAAAATCTCATCAAAGTCTTTATAACTGCTTTTCCCCTACTCCATGCTATTATTCCCCTCCACTTCCTAGTTTAGACAATAGAGACAGGATGTTTTGTTAATTCCTGTGCATCTGTATAATTGTTACACCCAAGATAACAATTTTATTTTCCCAGAAAATGATGAGGCATAATAGAAAGAGCTTTTGTTTCAGAATAAGAAGACCTTAGGAATACCAGGTTATCTAGGTATGTTTGTAACTCTATTGCTTACCAGTCCAGTGTTCCTGGGCAATTAAATTTTTTTTTAAATCCAAAGTGATCCTATTTTATCCTGAAAATAGCAATGGTATTGTCTCATGGCTTTGCAAGGATTAAGTAGAACTCAGTAGGTGAAAGGCAATTACCCCACACTGTTGAACTGCCAATTTTAAAACCTGTATTGGCTCAAAAATATTTTAACAATGAGAATAGTTTCCTTCTATTTGATAGTTATAGGGAGTTCTATGTCACAGGAAAAAAAAACCTCAATCAATAGCCTTTAATATTATTTGTTATTATGTGACTTGTGACTCATAGTGAGCCTACCTATGTACAACAGCCCTAAACCCTGCTATAGCCTGTGCAAACATTATGGTCTCTGACACATCTCTCCCTGTTACCCCAGTCACTGAATCAATCCATCTCATTGAAAGTCTTCCTCTCTTGTGCTGTCCCTGCACCCTTCCAAACATGATGTCCTTCTCTGAGGACTGGGCCCTCCCTCCAACATACCCAAAGTATGTCAGATGAAGCTTCAGAATCCTTGCCTCCAAGGAGCTGCCTGGTTTCACCCTCTGTTTGTTCTCCTAGCAGTCCATTCAATACTCTTCTCCAACACTACAGCTCAAAGGCATTAATTCTCCTTTTATCATTCCTAGTAATTGTCCAGCTTTCTGATGCATAACAAGTAATTGAAAAGAAAATGGCCAGGATCAGGCACACCATAGTCTTCAGACTGACATCCTTATTTTCATTACTCTGAAGAGGTCCCTGACAGCAGGCTTTCAGGCAATTCATCTTTTAATTTCCTGGCTACTAGTACCAAGAATGTTGATCATGGAGCCAAGTAAACTTAAGCTGTTAACAATCACAATTACAACATAAAAAAATTAACTGTACCACAACATAACAACCTTCCAGCCAATAGTGTTAGGACAGTTTACCACAAAGGAACTCTAGTTACCTAGAGATAGGGAGTTATGCTGCCAAACCAAAAACAGAAGAATTGAATCCACCAGTAGTTCTGAGAGAGCAAGATGGGCAGTCTTCTCCTGTGTTATTTACGACTTCTGAAAACCCACCGGAGGATCAGCTATAAATTAGCTCTGGGTTGACAGTAATGAGAGTTGAGCTTATGTGAAATATCTGTGGCATGAATACTGGCGGTAGGTAGTGATGATAATGATGACAGATATCTATAATACCAATTATATTTTTAGGTCTTTTACAGATGAACCAATTTGCTACTCAATATACCATTTTTAAAAAAAACCTCATAGGTTTGAAAGTTACATTAATAAATTGTAATTAATGACATAAAACAAAAGTCATGAATGACTGCATGAAAGACCAATAAGGTTTGTAAACTCTCATTCAAATGAAATAAATTAAATCAGAAACAAAGCATTACAGCCAAGAAAATGCTATGGAACATTCTGCTCTGCCACACATGGGGTTTCCAGGATCCAGAATTAACGTGATAGCAACAGGATTGTAAAGGGTCTGAATATAGGAACTCTTAGAGTAGAAATGACACTTATTTACGCCATTCAAAAAACTTCAGCCCTTTTAACATGTACATAATACTTACTTACATGTCACCTTTTCATTTTTCAAAATCTCAAAAACATCATTAAAAGGGAATAAGACGTTTTAGCAATTACAATGCCTAAAACAGTGTTTAGTATTCAGGCAATCTTTTCCTCCTATCCAGCTAAACCCTGTCTGTTTTGTAGCTGTTTGATAGACTCTGTGATTGTAAGCATTCAGACTTAATTTTGCCTCACGTTCTCTTTTAAAGATACAGCTATCCTATGTAACTATCCACTGTTGAAATGTATAACCCTATAAAATTAACATTTCAAACTACCTTACTGATGAAAATGATACATTTGCATGCTCACGCATGACTAATAATAATCATTTTACAGAGGTCACTTATAATACAAGAAAACATAGGGAGCAATTTACTACTACTCAGTGATTGAGAAGTCAACTTTTATAGTACATGCCTAATGATTAAAAATTGCTTAAGAATGAAAATTTGGATAAAGTGCTAATCTTCACACTTTTGGACATATACCTTTTAGATTGCCAATATAAACTAACACCACTGTTTAGAGTGACTATCTTGCCAAAATCATCTTTAACAGTACCATATTTTTCTAAGCACAGCTGGCTCTGATTATAATGATTACTTCCACAAACAATAAGCATTTATAGGGAAAGCCAATCTATGGTATACATCCTTACAGGTCTTTGGGTATTCAGATACATGTTTAAATGGAAGAATTATTATTTTGGCATACTTAGTACAAGGAGCCCTTTTAGAACCTTTAGTTTTTGTTTGTTTAAAGATAGTTTTAAAAGATTAATTCAGTTCTATAACAAGGAACTGCTACCACATTACTATACTGTTTGAACTCTTTTCACGGAAACAGTGTTAGGTTAAAATTAAGACAGTATCACAACTGAAAAACTATCAGTAAAAGTAGTTAGAACTCTATACTTTGCTTTTTTCTATAGTTAATGAAATTCACATAAGAGGAGCCCATGGAAGCAGCAGTCAGGAAATCAAATTACATGTCACATTTGGCAAATCTGCTGTCAAATACCACTTTAAAGTGTTCAAAAACAAGCATGTCACGTTGAGATCCAAGGTGATATTTTTAATCATCTCGTGTATTTGAAAGCTGGACAATGAATAAGGATTACTTAAAAAGAAATGACATATCTGAACTATGGCATGAGACAAGAATAGTGAATAGAAAATGAAGTTCCAGAAGAGCAAACTGATCTGTCTGGGAAGTACAACTAGAATTTCCTTAGAAGTGGGAATTTATCTCACGTATTTTGGACATGCTACAGAAGACTATCTTAGTAGTAAGAAGCTGTGCTGCCAAGCCTAAAGTATGCTGTTCTCATCCACCAGCTGTTCCGTAGGGGAAAGATGTGGGTAATCACTCTCTTCCTGTATGATTTCTTATCTCTGAAAATCCACTGGAAGGTCAACTATGAATCTGTTTTAATTCAACGCTACATATAACAACAATCCCAGAGAAGGGTAGAATGAATGCTTGGGAAAGTTGATGTCAAGTGATAAACACGATTCTCAAGAGCTAAATTAAGGCAGTGGTTACGACAAAGACCCTGATTGTAGCACTGTGAGGATGGCTCAGAAGTGGACAGTGTGCTTTTTTAAGTACACAGGGTCACTATGAGTCAGATCCATCTGGACTGCACCTAACAAAAATAACATGTGAGAAGGCCAGGGTTAGTGTTATCTGAGATTCTAGAGAAACCGGCTTTGCATAAAGTTAAATGGGCCCCAAAGGATTCTTCACTTATGACATTGCTAACATGCTGTCCCAGAAAAAGCCTTGTATTTCCCATGAATGCAGCAAATAAAGAAAGTTACTACCCCCTAGTTTCTCACTCTAGATAGGTAAGGCCTTTTAAATATTGCACTGAAGATGTTTCTTACATAGGTCTGCCTGCAGGAATATTCAATATAATCCTTAAACACATCCAAGGAAACATAAGAAGGAACAAATTACAAAATATTCCTGTATCTGTAGAGCTCAAGAAAAATCCATTAAGTCATCAATGTGGTAACAGTGTCAGGAGCTAATGATTAGTTATGATACTTGGTATTATTCTTAGGCGTTGTTGAGGTTCCAGTAACCAATACAATGACAATAACAATACAGTGATGATACAATATTAATACAGCAGCAATAATAGAAAGAAACAAGGCTAAGTACTAGTATCTACAAATGCCCTTTGAAACAAGACTTTCCAGGCCAATTATAAAACAGCAATAACCATAAGCATTCATAATAGCGCCATCTAAAAAATGACACATTTAATTAAGATGCATCACATATTCCATTACATCTGCAGTAGGTAACCAAATATGATTAATTTCAATGCATGAAATTAGACACCAAATATCGTGTTCATTCTTGCTAAAAACACTTTGCAGTTTGATTCTGGGAATGAATATGTTCTCTTGGAACTAGTTAAACTTTCTTATTATAAAATTTTAAAATATGCATCAAAATAAACCTGAAATAAAACAGTAGGCAACTTTGTGTTTTTGCTATCTAAATGTCAAACAAATAAAAACAAAGATGAAATGTTCTACTTTATTTACAGGTTAGAATTCTTAGTGTTAATTCCAAAGGTAATAAGTGAAGGAAAACATAAATTCTGGATTTCTTCCTTTATAAGTATGGCTCCGCCCTAAAGCAAACTTCAGCCAACTTTACTGATAATGATAATACTCTAAGGAAGAATACTTCTCTTCCATCCTAAACTTTAGACCTGATACGGCTCATCAATATTGGGAAAGTTAAAGCACATTGGAAAGTATTTTTTTAAAGAGTTCTTACAATAAGTTCACTGAAGTTTCATTTGTAGCCGTCAAAAAGAAAAAGGATATAACTTCGTTTTTAAAACTAACAACCAATACAAATATTTGCAAGACATATAAAAGTTTAACATTTTAATATATGTAATTTCATTAAATATGTATAATCACATATATTATCTGTTGAACCCTTAGTTATTGTATTTCCAATTATACTCAAAGAACACATGGAATCAGATAAATTATTTGGCAAGACCATTGCTAATATTAAGAATAACTTGGTCAGTAAAGAATAGAATACAGTATTTTTTCCTGCCTTTTGACTTGAGGAGCTAGTCCAAGAACCTTAAAAAAAATCAATTTTATCAATCTTCGAGGAAATAATAATTTTAGTTGTCTCACAATCATTTCTTGACCTATTCTCAAATAACTCATTATCTTTTTTTCTTAAAGGTTATCTTTCGCTGCAGATGTGAATATGTGGGTGGATGATGGAAAAGTTGTGCCCGTGTTCTCTCTGTGAAAACAGCAATGCTGCAACAGCAGTGGCTGAGACCTCAAGTGATGAGGAGTTGAAACTGAAGGAAATATTCGCTGCAAAACAGTTAACAAGAAAACTAAAACTAAGTCTAAACAAGAAAGGGAAGCTTTAAGATTCAAGAACCATAGAAAACCCTTAACTAGTTCTACTTCGCACCCACCAAGCAAGCAAGCAAGCAGTGCCCCCCAAAGGCTGAGTCTGCCTCTGTTGTGTTACTTTTAAGTGTTGGCCCTAACCAGAGTTCTGATGTCAAATCAGCAGTCTAGTACTTTCAACTCCATATGGTTTGGTTAGAGAGTTAATGATTAGATAGTGTAACCAATCAACTCTTGTCATCAAAAACACTAATTGGGAGTCAAAACCACTTTATGAGCTTGAATTACAGGTTGGGTTTGTGGTTTTTTTCCTATTTTTGTGTTTTGTTGTGTTTGTTTTTTCTTATTGAACATTTTTCATCGAGAAGAAAAAGGAAAGGAAGCTCAGAAAGACTAAATGGTCTTCAACTCCAAGGTCTCCAGTAGAATCTGGAGGTAGAAGGGTAACACAGGCAGAGAGTTCTCAAGTGTCGCCCTGCAGGACTGTAATTGCGAGGTTTAATTAAGGAGGAGGAGCCAGATTCCCTGCAGAGTAGTGAAAGAATTTTTTTTTGGGGGGGTGGGGGCAAAGGGACCAGATTCCCCTAAAGGGATTCATCCCATCTTGTCCATCTTTCGGGGAGGTGGGCCCCCTCTGTGCATCTCTTTTCCTGTTTAGTTAACTCAAGCACTCGCCTCTGCTTTTTTCAGAGGAACTGGGAGGAAACCGCAGCCCACCCAAAAAAGGGTGCGAGTGAAACCTCGCTTAAGTAGTCCAACGGCTGCGCTGGGGCCGCCTCCTCGTCCTCTGGGCCCTGGACTGCGTTTGGGAAAGGGTCACGGGAGAAATGGCGCCCTTGGATTGGGAGTTCCCAGTCCATTGTCAGTCCCAGGGGGACCAGGAGGCACTCTACTGGGGACGGTTTTGTGGAAACCCAGAAAGGGTGCAATGGCGACATCTGGCGCCCCTCTGGCCTCACAGACCCCGCCCACTCCTGTTCTCTGGGGTCCCAGGCCAAGGCCCGAACCTCCAGCTCCCTGGTGTAGCTTGGTGGCTTTGTCCGGATTCGGGTTTATCCTTAAAATCTACTAGCCCAGAGGGAAACAAAGAGCTTCCACTCCCAAGCTCCTCATTTTCTCCTGGAACAGAAGCCCCCCACGCGCCAATTCATCACCTTCCTAAAGACCCCTTTGTCTGCGTTAGAAGCTCAGGTCTGTCGGGGATGCCCATACCCCACCCCAAAGGCTTCTTTTCAGACAATTGAGCTGCATCTAATTTTCAAACCACAAACTCCCTGGGTAATCGCCTAGATTTCGGATTCCTCTCCCCCTTTCCCAGAATCAACCATTTAGAAATTAGGAAACGTACAACGACCACTCAAATCGAATCCTTCTTAGCCTTTCATTCTTTTTCAGGACCTTCGACTGTACTTCTGCTGTTTTGTTTTTTATAAATCTGCCGTTCCTTCTACAAGGATAAACCCGAGTGCTGCTCACTTACATGTTCACCACTTAGGGGAGGATGAGGGATTCCAAGACACAGAGCGCATGAAGTTTTAGGGTGTGTTTGCATGTTTCAACTGTCCTAGTGCACGCACACGTCTACACACACATGCACATACGCAATGGAAAGAGATGTTTTCTTCTTTAACTGAATGTTTGGGAAAATAAGAACCAGTGGGCTTCTCAGCTAGTGAGTAGTTTCCAATAGCAGGAGCCTCCGGATAAGGCAGGATTTTCGAAACAAGACTTTGAGCAGAGTTGACAACCAGGTTCACATCCTCAGACAACGCTTCCAAGCTACATCAGCAACAGAAGTTACAGTCCCCTCCAGGGTAAACTTCAAAGTCACATAGGCCAGGGGTGGAGGAAGGAAGTAAGATATTTAGAGAACTTAATGGGGGAGGGCGTAATTCTGAACTCAACTAGACAGTGTAAAGAGAGAGCAGAAATATAGGCTATTAAATGTCATACCAGTTTCTAAAACTATAATCTTGCTGCTCATACATTTTAACTATATTTCTTGCCAAAGAAAAGCAAATAAGGTATTGGAGCTCTTAATTCAAATTATGATACATGGTTCTGCTCAAAGCTAGAGAAGGGTAGAAAAATAGAAAAGATAGCACATTCCCTGTTTTGGAGGTTTTTAACTTCAACCTTTCAGGCAACTAATATTGCAGTAGAATTACAGGACAGAGAACGAAGGGAAGGCAACAGGATGGTGAATAAAGACATCTCCCTTGAGTAAGGCCCACAGAAAAGGACAAGGGCACACGTTCTTTGTTGACACTTCTGCAATGACTTCTCCTTTGACTTGGTGATTCCCCAGGCACCAATACAACCGTCACCCCTACCCCACTAGGCAAGTTGAACTTCTACTGGGGAAAAGCTCGGAGAAACCCACACACCTCTGTAACAGCCTTTGTTATTTAATTCATAGACTGAGCTCTCTCAAGCTCACAAACCCTCACACATGCACACACACACACACACCCCCCTACAAACACACACACATCCCACTATCCCAAGCCTTACTCTATATTCTCATTTCATTTTTTTACTTGACTTTTTGTCATATCCTGAAATGAAGCTTTGCATTTACCCAATGAGTTGCGTTTCCTGGTGCTCCTCAGTTCTTGCTATTTCTTTTGTCTTATAAAAGATCAAGAGCAGACTTATCGTGCAGATCGTCAACCTCTTTCTAATGGAGCGCATCTTTGGTGCCCGTGAAAGTCCTGGTGGCTCCAGCTTCCACACCTTTTGTGGAAATAAAGGCTCCGTTTTGAGGAGGTACAGTCGCGGGGGTAAATCTATGAAATGCGAAGAGAGCTTAGAGCAGGATCCCAGAGGCAGGTCTCCAGGGTCCGCGTTGGCCAAGCTCGCCCTTGTCCTCTCACGCTGACCAGTGACTGACTGAGCTAGCCGCGTCTGCACTGCCAGGGTCGCTCAGTGTTGCCTCCCAGGGGCTCAGGTTTCTTTTCAGATGAGCTACCTTGAGCTTTGGAGGTGGTGGCCGCTTCTGCAGCTGGGTTTGGGGGCGTCACTGGCCCTTCCCTCTTCCTAGCAGGGAAATGATGAATAAAATCAGCCAATCGCTGGACCGAGGGGGCGGAGGCTGTTGTTGCGCGTTGCCGGCCGCTGCTTGGAGAGTAACGTCGCTGGCGCTGCCAGCGCTGTGTCAGAAGGGGAAGCGGACTGACTTACTCCTCTCTCTCTTTTACATACTGCCACTCACCAGCGTGTACAAATCCTTTGGAGATCCCGGCCCTCCAGGGAATCAAGCAATCCTCCCAGAGTACCAAACCTCCAGTTTCTTGGACCGGGAAAGGAGCGCCAACATGTTCTGTCAGCGTGAGTTTTAGATGGCATCTCGTCTGGGAACAAATTAGAGATGCCTCCAGTCCAAGAAATATTTGGGATAGAGCTATGGGTGAGGGGATAAAAGGGTAATTTCTTCCAAATGGCTTTGCTAAACATACACGCGCGCACAAGCACGCCCACTCATACGCACACCTTCCAAAATAGAGTGAAACGGGAGAGGGCAAGTTTAAGAGGTGGAGGACGTTTTAAATTCATGCACAGCTAATCTAGAATTAACATGTGTTCACCTATCAACCGACCAGCGTACTCCCAAAGTGGACGGTGAGTAATAGCCCCAGTTCTTGGTAGAAAATGAATGATAACAGAACTATCTCTAGGAACTTCGTGCCTATTAATGTAACTTTCTTTCATTATCGTTTGGAAAGGTCTCATGTAAAATTCCAGAAACTGATGACACAAAAAGTTAATTGAGGTATTAGATTTAGAGGAAGAGTAAGGAAGGCAATTATTACTGGCTTCATTTTTTTGGTCACACACATACAATCACATGTAAAAGAAGGAGTTTCTTTCCCAAAGGTTCAATAATGCCCTATATTCCTGATTTTCACCTTTTCCTCTTCCCTAGTGGCTTTGTAACTTTTCTTCCATCAGTAAGTCTTGACCTGATAGGATAAATTTACAGACAGAGGGGGACACTGAGTTACCTCATCGCTGCTTGGACTCCAGCTTCACTACTGAGCTCCTAAACATTTTTGCCTCCATACCCTGGGTTAGTTGAGACAGTCAGTGGAACTACTACTTCAGCAGCAGGACTTGCTCTGCAATAAGAGCTGGGCCCAAGCTTCCTGCGTTTCACACTAGCCTTCAGTGAATTTAAATCTCATGAAAGGAGATTACCAATTTTTCTCTTGAGGAGCATCTGGTGCATTTGAAACACATGCCCTTTGGGTTGGCAGTGCAGCAGAGCTTTACTATTAGTTCATCAGAGCTCCTCAAAATCTCCTGGAATTACTAATGCTGGGAGATGGTTTCAATGATCAACCATTCTTTTTTTTTCTCGCCTCTGAGACTTTCCTCTTCACTAGACCCAGAAAACAAAAATTCTTACCACTGGACCAATTGGCAACATCATGACAGACAGAGAAAAGACTGAAGTTGCCAATTATTTGATCTTGGTGGGATCCACAATCAACACCCTTGGTACTAGCAGTCAGAAGATCAGGAGACATATTGTACTGGGAAAGTCAGAGGTCAGGGACCTCTCCAAATTATTGAGGAGTCAGTTAATGATGTCAGTTTGCAGATTAACATGTGTCTGTTCTGGCCATAGTCTTTTTTGAGTTGAAGAATGAATAAGATGATAGAAGAAAAATGCCTTTGAGTTGTGGTGTTGGCAAAGGGTGCTGAACATCCCCAAGACTACCAAAAGGACAAATATGTCTTGGAGAAAGTGAAGCCAAAATGTTCCTTGGAGGCAAAAATGATTTTTTTTCTCATATGCTTCAAACATCTTGCTAGGAGGAGAGGATATTCCTTGGAGAAGGGCAACATTCTTTGAAAGGTAGAGGGTCGGCAAGAGAGAGGAAGACACTCAATCAGGTAGATTGACACAGTGCTCTAGTGTAAGAAATTGTAACAATGGCACAGAATAGGGCAGAGTTCAGATCTGTTGTCCATAGGGTTGCTATGTGTCATAAGTGACTCAACAGTGCACAGCAACAACAACAACAATCAGAAATAGAGGGTCCAAACCAATCCTTCCCCACTGGGCTGTTCTGAGTTTGTCTTCTTAGATAAAAGCACTGCTAACCCAGAGGCCACTTTGCTCTCACTGTTAAAATTCATCAGTGGGTTCCAGGGAGAAAGATAGTCTCCTCTCTTTGTATTTATAAATTGAGAAGCCTGCTGAAAGGTCAGTTATGAGCGAGTTCTGACTGGACAGCAGTGAGTAGAAGTATGCATTCTCTTTAGTTAAAAAAAAATACTAGGTCACAGCCAAAGTTCGCCATTCTTTGCCTGGGATTTAGGAAGTTAAGAACCTCAGAGTTCTTTACCCTTACCCATGCTGCCAAGCAAATGAATAACTTTCATGTAAAATATTCCAATGGACAAGAAATTATGCATTTTTGCTGTTGCTGCAATGAGTTCTCTGGTTTAGAGTTTATAGATGTTTAGGTAAATTCCATTTCTATTAGTACATTTCTACTACACCAATTTCTCAACAAGATGAAATTGTAAGATTTTTTTTAAGTGAAAAGAGAACTGAGACAGTTTTGAAGTTGGAAACACTTGGTTAGGTCTCTAAATTCTCCACTTGACTTTTAGATAACAACTGAATTTTTTTTATTTAAAATAAAGCACTACCCTATAATGGCAATAAAGAAATAAATGGACCTTAATTATATGTGTCCACCATTTCATAAAGTAATCTCTGCTGCATGACTAATAACCAACATGTAGGATAAAGTAACAAAATACCTTAAAATAGTGTCAAACTAGGTACTTCCTTCAAATTGTCTTGAAGGGAATGCCACCAGAGTGCTCCTTTGAGAAAAGGAAGATGAAAATTTGTCTCATATACTTTGGTCACATTGTAGGAAGAATCAGCTTTGGAGATAGACAGCATGCTGGGAAAATAGAGGGTCAGTGAAAGAGGGGATGAACTTCGAGAGGATGGATTGACAAAGTGACTGCCACAAAGGACTTGAGCATAATCGAAATCTTGAGAATGCTGCAGAATAGGGAAAGGTTCGGATCCATTGCTCACAGGGTTGTTTTGAGTTGTAACTGACCTGATAGCACCTAACAACTAGTTCATTTTATCAGAAAGAAAACTGATTTGGAAAAAAAAAAACAATCTAAAAGTTGTAGTTTGGCATTTGAAGTCTGTAACTGGTATCTGGATAAACTATTGGTAAAATTAAATGTAATAATAATGTTTTATGAGCAATAAGGAGAGACTTTATGGGGAAGCCGTCATGATCAGAAAGATTGAAGGACAGCGAAAGAGAAGAGGACTTCAATTAGGTGATTTGACACAGTGACTGCAACAATAGGCTCTAGCATACTGGAGAATGAGATCATGTGGATGATACAGGATAAGACAAAAGTCCCATCTGATGTGCAGAGGGTCACTGTGAGTCATAGTTGAGTCCCTAACAACAACAATGTATGGGAATGGAAACTCAGGCTGGAATTTTTTTAAAGTAAAATATATTTTTAATGCCAAAAATAGATTTTTTTTATCTTGCACATAATTTACTCCTAATACTTTACTTTTTCAAATTAAGATTTTAATGAAAGTTTATAGACAACTTGAGGCTGCAATTTTTAATACAAGGAAGTAATCCAACCAGATGAAGAACATTACAAGAAAAGTAAGAAAATATGCATGATATCAGAGAAAACTAAACAACTGGTATTTTGGGAACTTTTAAGTAGTTCAGTACTGTTAGTATAGAAATCAAAGAATAATAACAGAGAAAGTTAAGTTTTCAGTGTGAACATAATACATTATAGTTGACAATATAAATTGTCTTCTTTAATGAAAAGGCTGGAACAAATAAATAAAACAACCAAAAAAACTCTTAACAAAAAAACTGGGTGTCACTAATGCAATGAGCTTTAAATTAAATTATCCACTCAACTCATTTAACCCACAACAGAAGAAAACAAATCCACAAATTGTAAAACAGAAGAATGTCAAAAAGCAACTATAAAAAACCTACAATAAATTTAAATGTCTAGAAGTGGAAAAATGAAAAAAAGAAAATACTTCCCAGTTGTAAAATGCTGTTGTTTTTGAATCTATGCAGGATAAAACTTTTTATGTTTGTTGTTATGTGCTGTTGAGTCAACTGTGACTCATAGCAACCCTACGCACAATAGCTCTGAGCTTTTTTCTATCTTGAGCCAATCTCCCTGCCTCTGATACACTTACCTTATTATCACAGTTACTGTGTCAATTCACCTCTTCTGGGGTCTTACTCTCCTGCACTGTCCCTCCAGACATGATAGTCTTTTCTGAGAATTGGTTTCTCCTGGCAACATGCCCAAAGTATCTGAGACAGAGCCTCAAAATCCTTGAATCCAAGGTACAGCTTAGTTTCACCCTCTCCAAGACATACCTGTTAGTTTTCTTGGCAACCCAAGGTATGTTCAATACTCTTCTTCAGCATCACAACTCAAAGGTATCAAATTCTCCTTCTGTCATCTTTAGTCATTGTTCAGCTCCCTGATGCATGTAATTGCTAAGGCCCTGACCTCAATAAGGAGCACCTTAGTCTCTAAACTGATATTGTTGCTTTTCAGCATTCTGGAGGGGTCCCCGACAGCACTTTTTCCCAATGAAATTCATCTATTGATTTTTTGGCTGTTGATGCCAAGAGTGTTGATTGTGTAAGCTAGCAAGCTGAAACTATTAACAATCTCAACATCTTTTCGTAATGAATGCTAATGATTCAAGGGGCTCTGTTTCTATATTTAAATATTTCAATGTTTAGAAAACATTGTGTGGCATCTGTTTAATATTGTTAAAATTATGCAATACACGATTTCCTGGTAAGCATTGGCCTATGCTAAGGCCAATTGGTCTATGCTAAGGCCAAATTGTCAAAGGCATTTCTGAACTTGTTATATGCAACAAGTATAAATATTAGGTAAGCAATCCTGTCTACAAGATTAGTATTTTGGACTTATCTCTTTC